TTTTCTGACATTCTATCTGGCAATAAAACTAGCAATCTATCTGACACACTATTTGGCATATTTTCTTGCAACATTCTATTTGGCAATCTACCTGGCATTCTATCTGGCATTTTATCTGGCAAAGTATCTGGTTGAGGTCCAGCGGTGCACATTGCGATCGGATCCTTGCGGTTGAGGTCTAGCGGTGCCCACTGCGATCGGATCCTTGCGGTTGAGGTCCAGGGGTGCATACTCCGATCGGATCCCTGTGATTGAGGTCCAGGGATGCACACTGCGATCGGATCCTTGCGGTTGAGGTCCAGGGGTGCACACTGCGAGGGGATCTTTGCGGTTGAGGTCCAGGGGTGCACACTGCGATCGGATCCTTGCGGTTGAGGTCCACGAGTGCACACTGCGAGGGGATCCTTGCGGTTGAAATCTAGGGGTGGACATTGCGATCCGAAGCTGGCCAGACAAGATCGGCGAAGCAGATTGGCGAGGAAAGGAGTAAGGAGGAAGGAGGAGGACGAGGAGGCGGCGGAGGCGGAGGAAGAATAATCATGATAAAATCTAACAACCCCTCACCTGGCAGGTGGGGAAATATTATTATAATTTCAATAAAAATCATTAATAATATCTATTAATTAATTATATTTTCCATATATTCTATTAATTTATATTAAAGATTTTTTGTTTATGTTAAAAAGAATATATATATAAATCACGGGTCAAAATTGAATACATTACGGTCAATTTTTTTTATTAATACTAAGGATATTTTTGATTATTATCGTTTTTGGGGAAGACCTTATTAATATTATTTTGTTTGTTCAAAAAATTATTTTTGATATTCGAATTTATATTGTGGATGGATGAAACGGAACTAGATATTCATTGAAATCAAAACAACGGATGACGAATTTCTTCATAATTCGCTTATCAGCAGCGGACTGCGATCTCGAATGGGTTTGTGAAATTTGGTGTAGCTATCTCTATCTTAATGTTTATCGGCCTTCTATTTGCTGGGATATAAAATGCTAATATATAAATTCTTAGAAAGAAAGGTTAAACCAATATCTTCGATAGGGAATTTAATTGTTTTATCGTTTTATCAACAGATTCTGGGCAAGTGGTTATAAAAGCTAAGGTCATATCCAGACGGTTTTCGGCGAATTATCGATTTCGTTATCAATATAATATCCACATAGATCTTTTTTTCAAGAAATGATTACAAATTAGAAAAAGACATAATAATATTACTAAATATATTAATTCCATATTACATGGTGCAAGCCGGCCACTAGGATACTATCAATGGGGCTTTCATTCGACATGCAACAAGTATTGCAAGGATCTATTAAGAATAAAAATGAATACCATTATATAGGTTATTAATTTTGGTTAAGATTTTATCGATATCCAATATATCCTCATCCTAAGCCCTTCATATCGACCTCTCTTAAATATAATTATTTTAATCCCACCTCCTACCAGGTGATAGTCCCCTATCTGCAAAAAATATTTAATAAATATCTCTTTCAATATTATATTCCCGATATAAAAAACATATTAATTTCGATTTAAGAAAATAAAAAAAATAATATTAATATAAAAAAATAAAATAAAATGATAATCTATATCTCGCCAACATTTTTCTTGCTACCCACATAATTTAGGAAGATCATAACCCAATCCATGCAACCAACGAAATACAAAATCAATCGACAAAGAATAATATAATATAATATAATCATTTATAAAATATCATTAATATGTTGCTTAAAAATATTATATATAATTTATTTTTATATAATTAATTCTATCATTTAAATTATATATTATCGAATCCATATTTCAATAATTTCTACTAACATAATCCTAATACAAATAATCTCGATATATATATTTTATGTATATCCTAATTCCTATTAATTTTATATAAATATATATCAAACATTAATTACATCCAAATAAAATAATTTCTAATAATCAAATACAAAAACAAAAAATATTAATATATGACAATCCTTATATAAATATAACACAATCATCATATCAATACCTAATTTATATTATATTCATTTATATATACCATGAATATTTATCATTATACAAATAATATTATTACATTATATATATTCCTCAATTCTGATTTTTAATATAGATAATAATTATATAAATACATATATTTTATCTATAAAATCAAAATATCCTTATATAATTCAAATTCAAACCATTAATTCATTTATATATTTGCAATTAAAAAAAATATAAATAAATCAAATATATTATTGATTAATTATCCTTCTACTAATCGTTTCGGCCACCAATATAAGCAAAATCAAAATATCTTTCAAAATATAAATAGACATATACATTATTTATAAAGAAGGTATATCGAAATGATTCCTACAGATGTCATTGTTGGATCAGGATTTCAAGGTCCACAAATTCAGGAACTAGGTCCCAAAGCATAATTGGTGTAATCAATCCTGTATCCTCCGTGGTGCCACACAATCTGGTTTCCCATCCATGAAACGGTGCAGTCAGTAGAGCCTGTTCTAGCAATTCTCCTCAAAACCATCCAAGAAACTCTCCCACAACATGTTGATCGCGGTGCATCTTCCATGCACCCCAAGCATCCGAGTTGAAGTCTTGTGTCATGGCGCATGTCCAGAGCTGTGCCTGCAAGCCTCCACTGAGGTAACAGGTAGAGCGTCATTGGCCAAGCTGGTCATCAAAATGCTTCTGAGAGCTGGCGACCGCTAATGGTGATGATTGGAGGGAAGCCCGTCTCAGGTGCATCAAAATGAGCTGAGTGAATCCATTCCCAGCCAACTTCATTAGAAGATCCCGAAGTTCTTGGGCCTCCGCCGAACGGAGAGACAGATCGAGGCGCCCAGGAATCGCCGCTGCCGTGTCCGTGGGAAAGGAGTCCTGCTGCAAATGTCGAAGGGCTGCAAATCTGTGAATGAGCTCCTGCTTCTGACCCAGGGGCATGAATGCTTCAGGATGGAACAAACCTCCTCCGATGTCAGGGCTGTCTTCGAGTTAGGCTTCAGTGCTTTGGCCTGGGGATCCCATGAGAGATACTGCCAGCAGTTGTCCTCTATCAAGATGCCCGGGCTATTCAGGCTGACCATCGATGCATCTTCTTTTGTGTTGATCTTGAGCTAACTGGCTCGCTGGATGAGCTCTTGGAAGCATTAAAGGAACAAAATCTGCCGCAGTGGACAGGAGACGTCGCCATTTTGTCGGTAGAAATTCCAGTCCCGAGAAGTTTCCAACATCACTGGTATGATACTTCCCCGGCCTCGATCCAGGCCAAGCTGATTGAGGGCATCCTCTTGCCTCAGTGAGAGCCTAACGATCATCTGCACCGATTCTTCGTTGCCAATTCCGCTCGATGTGGAGGCCAATGATCCTAAGGACCTCCTAACAGGACCCCGGCCAGGTTTGTAATGACCATTGGATGGAGTGTCCACTCTGGGACGTTTCAAGAAGTGCTCCTAGCATGCGTCCATCAAATCTGTAAAGGATTAATTAATGTTTGGGTGGTGTCATCTCCATTTTCTGAGTCAAATGGCAAAGACTATGGATAAAAAGCCAAGGCTTAAGCTAAGTATATATAAATCATAATAGTATCATTTACATATATATATATTATTACTTTTTCTTTTTTTTCGGCTACATTTATTGTATATATCCACCAAATATATACTAATAACCGTATATCATATATTTATATGTTCAATCATTTTACAATTATTTTATGTATATTTTCTCGTGTAAAAATGTTGTTTAAATACATATCCATAATTAGAATTGTTCTTCGATTGACATCATTTCGAATTGATCGACATCTTGACATCTTGTGTCTTTCTCGGAATTGACTCAACAAGAATTATATAAATATACAAATATATATATATATATTATGATTCTGGAGGAAACCCTGCACAATATATTGAGAATTGGAAACGTTTTTAAATCAAAGAAATATTCAAGACTCAAGACATCTTAAAACATTCTCCTGTCTTGGATGGGGACGACCCGCAACGCCGTTCTTTTATGGATCACTTGGATCCGTCCAACAGAGACAACCACACTCTGTCCATCCATCTCCAACTCCATATTGATTCTACGCTTCACGAAACAACTATTAGCAATATTAAAATCACATAAATGCAAAAGACAAACTAGTTCTCAGCAAGCGAAGATCGAGGTTGCGAGCGTGGTCCTTCAACTATAGTTGGCGATTGGATGCTTGAGGAGAAGGATGCAACGCTGGTAGCTACCTTTTCCTTCAGTCGAGTAACCGCTATCCCCATCCCAAAATCCTTCTCTGTCGATCTGCACAGGGATCGGGTCAACCCAAACTTTCAAAACTACCCATGTCGTGTAAACCGCAACTGGTCATCGCCCTCCAGCTTCCATCCTTTCCTTAGGCCTGACAGAGACTGGGAAGAGGGAATGCTGCAGCGAAGCATTTACCTCGACCAGTTGCTCTGGCTCACCTGGCAGCACCTCCATCGCGTAAGGTGAAACCACAAGGTCACAAGTGCCTCGTGACGGAAAAACAAGCTGCCACCCAGGCAGGATGTCGCCGCGAGGGTGTCGCCGCGAAGCTACAACAGATGGAAAGGAACCTGATCACAGTTTGGTCATACCCTGACTTCCTCAGTTTGTCTGGAAAATAGAGAGCTGTGACTGTGACCTTTTCTATTACAACAGCTGTGTCCATCCATACCCTGACTTCTCAGTTCTTGCCAAACCACTGCTGTGAGTCTTTTTCCTCTTGGATCGTGCCCGAACAGCTTTGGCAGGTGATCCCAGAACATCGTAGGGTAGGCATCCGCTCCACTTCTGGCTCACGGGTCTGTCCGAAAACACCACAGCAACGATTCCGAACCCCAAACCTGAGTGGTCAGTGGAGCCATCGGTTATCCCATCGTTGTCTTGCCTTCTTTTGCATTGGTACTCATGCCCCAGCAAGTGTTCCCATTGGCCAACACCCATCCAATCCCGCGAAGAAGACTTTCCCATCCCAGGGGATTCACCATGCTTCATCGATCCACCCGGCATCCCCCGGCCACCAGACGCGGCGCCCCCTCACTGGGCCGCCGAACCCCCCGGCTCCACCGGGGAAAGCTCTGGGTCTCAGATGTGCTGCGGTGGCTCATCGATAGGGTCCACACACAGGGGCTTCACTGGAGCCTGGAAGCGCGTGGATGAAGCTTTCCGGGACATTTCAAATGGTATATAACTCGAGATGTCAGCACTTTTCCTGTCCTTTTGATTCTTGATTCCGAACTTCTTCTTCAAGAATTCTGAACGATTGAAAGATCTGTGGCATTGCACCCTGAACTTTTAGTGGACAATGCATGAATAATAAGGCCAGCCACATGAATGAGTCTGGGCTCACACCCTTTTTCTACTGCTCCCAACTTCGCCTATTTCTGGTAGGTGGGGATAGGCATAGGTGAACGTCCATTGGATTCCAAGAGTCCCCCTCCTTTCGTGAAAGAGCGCCCCATTTGGAGCGCTGGCACTTCCTTCATCTTCCTTCCAGATCATACACTCTGCTAGCCTTACAGGACTGGCCATGGTTTGTTCTGAGGACTGGCGATGCTGCTCATGTCCACAGAATAACCTAGCTGTGCGCCCCAAAACAGGTCCTTTTTGGTTGACCATGTTGACCCGTGGAGTATTGAAGGAAGGTATGTCTATTCGTACCAGGTTTGCACATCGATTCGACCGCTGAAGCACTGCACGCTTCTCTGGCTGCCATGAGGTGATGAAGGGTGCGGTCTATGAGCAAAGACCCGGTACTCCAAACCCAAGCATGACTTGGAGTTGCTTAAGGAACCTGGACAAATAGACACGTATTCCCCACCAGGGGATTGAACCATGAGGGAATATCAATCATCGCCTTAAGCAAAACCAGGATGAGTGTCAAACAAAACACTGTTTTGCTTGGATTTGCTTGAGGAACCAGGGCAATACTGATTCCCCATGCCAGGGGATTCACCCAAGAACCGGGAAAAAAACACCAGAACCCGATCCGGAGGACCTAGGAATTTCCGTACAACCCAGCACATCATGACACGTTCCTCTCAGCTGGCGATGTACGAGCTCAGCTGGCGAGATACTCTCTTGGGTCAGGCCACGGTCCCACTAGGTCAAACCTGCGGCGCGAGCAAATGCCAAACTAGGTCAACTACTGTGGGAACTGCTTCCACTTCCCCCCCAAGGCCGCACCTTGATCTGTTCTAAGGGTTGCGACCCTGCCCGTGGCAAGGCCACATCTCCGGCGGGCGCACCGGCAGGGGGTGCCAGCGCGCTGGGTGCAGGCACAGCGGTGGGCAGCTCGCTGCTGAGAGGGCTGGGAAGATTCGAGGAGCCTTAGAGAGCGACCAAAGCCAAAAAAAACAGAAAACATGTCGCACCTAAAAGCGATGGCCTCCAACCATCTCCAACCGCGATGGCATAAACCTACTAGCGATGCCCAAGCTTGAAGTAATTTGGCAGATTTGCTGAAAAGCATACATTCGAAGCTTTTTGAGATGTTCTTTGGGGTGCAGCTCTTGGTACAGGGGGACGAACTAGCTGAGCTCAGGGTCATGATGGTGATTGGATGATGTGACGAGGTATTCAAAGCAAGAACCCTTTTCTCAAGAAGCGCTGGCAGAGGTGCCAAGCTGTGCTAGGTACTTGTTCTCCTTGGAAAGTCTCTTCACCTTCAAAGAAACTTGGGGCCTTCGCACAGAAATTTGCTGATCTCGCGGAATCATGTAAACCCTAAAACTGCCAAAAAAGATTCCACAACACTTGCGATATTTTCTGGTGTCAAGAAAGCATCTATAGGCTATAGTACATTAATTGTTCACTTCCTGCTGGTAATGGACACAGGGAACGTTTTGAACGGGACAGTACTTCTGTCAGCCAAAAGGCGCCCTAAGACAATGTATTTGCCCCTGTAAGCAGCGGCGTGTGTGTGTGTGTGTGTGTGTGTGTGTGCGTGTTTAGTAAATTGTTACATTAAAATTCTTTTGTATTACCTAAGTAAGAAACAAACGTCACGCTATTTGAACGAACTTCTCGGGTGATGAACCGAGCTAGGTGGTGCCAGCGAGACGAATTTTTCCACCATAAAGGAGACTACTTCATCGATTGGTCGGTCCGACTCCGTTGGCAGCACCGGTCACCCACCAAGCAGCCGCGAACTTCGCGTCCGAAGTTCCTCAAATCGACGTGGCAGCAATGTTGACTTGGTCAACTTCAGCCCATCGAATGCGGCAGCACTTCAAACGCATCAATCCTGTCCTACCCTTTATTTTTTAATGGCACAGTCTGGTTTCAATAGGGATTCACTTCAGCAACTTGAGGATGACTAGAATACTATTCCAAACAATCAAACCTGGAAATGGTACAAACACAATCTTTGCGCATCATAAGACGTTAGGCTAGGTTGGGTTGTTGGAGTCCCGCAACAAACACCTCGCTTTCTGGGCCCATCTTGGACATGAAACTGGTGGATTTCGGCCCATTCGCTAGTGTGACATGGGTGTGTCTGGACATAAAACCAACAACAAAGAATCCAGACTTCTCAAATGTCATCCAGTCTAGCCGCCAGGCCCAGTCCCGTCCATGCCACAAATTGTTCATCACGTCATCCGTCGTATCCAGTCATCGCATGCAGTTCAGGACAGCATGTCTTAAAAACATGCACTGACACGCTACTGAGCCGCTACTGCCCATGCAGCCCAGGCTCATGATGAAGCTTTCATGCTGCTGCATTTCTTTGGTGAACTTCCGACCTTCTAGCCCAACATCGTCAAGGTGTCCGGCCGGGTTGCTTGGGTTCCAGCAGAAAGAAACCAACAGGTTTTACCGGTTGACGATTTGTTTAAGGATCTTTTCCGTTTTTTTGGGATTCTTTCTAGTAGCGCTTTCATATGGTGATACAGGGGTACCTGGTGGTTTTGGTTTGATTTTTGGTGAGCTACTTTGGGTTGTGGGATGGTGTTCTTCGGTTGAGTCTTCTGCGCAGTTGTTAGATGAATTTTGTTTTAGTTGTTGAGGGGCTGTCATAACGAACTGCTGAGGTAAAAAATCAACCCACCTAAGAGCGCTTACTGCAGCACATGCACCACACCTGTGTCTCAATACCTGTATCCAAACACCTGTATCTATGTAGATGTGATATACCAGGTGTTGCCCAAGTGTTGCCCCTGAATATTGAAGATGATGACCCTTGACAATCATCTCTGCAACTTCACATGATGATGACAATTACAATGACAGTTTGCGCTGCTGCTGATGATGATGATGATAAATCATGAAGAAGGTGGTATTGAATGTGATGTTCAAGACGATGGTAGAGATGATAGTTAGACAGTTGAAGTTGGTATACCAGCAGCAAGCGCCGACGCCTTTTTAGACTTTATGTTATCGAGGATGCGCACCACGCAGCGCTGTCAAGCGCTCAGATTGCATCAGGCCCTTAGATGAGACACTTCATTTAGATGTCTTGCAAAAGGCATGATAAGACGAGGGAGACACAATGCCTGACACGCAAGAATCTCTCCAGAGCTTGCGAGATGGAGCATGAACCTAGGATGGTTGCAAGGGCAGGAGAAGGGACGGTTTGAAGCGCTGAGTGCACAGCTGGCAACAGACTGCGGAGCAAAGGGCGGAGCCTAAAGCGCAGGCATGTGTTTTGTGACAATGACATGGTGTGTGAACTGAGCGCTAGTTTTCCAACAGCTTTAGCCACATCCACCTGGGACATCCAATCCAGGAAAAACATAAAAAGACACGTTGCGCCGTTACTAGGAAGAAGCACCAAAAGGATGGCTTTCTAGCGCTGAGTTCTCAGCTAGACAGATCATAGGCCTCGGAGCACAGGGCTGGGCCTTAGGTGTGCGCAGGTGTTTCGTAACATGGACATGTTCCAACCGAGGGCTGAGGTTCGAAGGTCTTCGACCGCAGCCAAATGCATTATACAATGCATGAATGTTGCATGGTCTGTCTCATGGCGTATGGCCACAGGTTTAGAAATGAACTAATTTGCCCATGTCCTGTGCAAGAGGCTGCGAGGCTGCGGGCGGCTGCATAGACTTTGTCAGCTTGGGGGCAAAAGAAGCTAAATGCGGGTCGCCCGTTCATTGGTGTGTTGCCGTACGTGGCATTGATTGTGAACATGAGAACGTAGGCGGACTTCAACATTTCGCAGCGATCGAGACAAAACCCTGGAATGATGACAGCACCATCCTCCTTCATAAAAGCTCGCTTCGACTGAGCCAAGCACTGCAGGTCTGAGAACTGCGCGCGCAAAACTTGCCAGCTCAAACTCTTCCACAGGCCCAGGGCAGAAAGGGTCACTGACACGGGTTTCAAGTCCCACTGTCACTCAGTGACATTACACAACCACTCCTCGCTGGCTGACACATCCCCTGAACGCAGGCTGATTTCGAAAAACGACTTCTGACGACCACAGCATCGAGGCACTCTTCTTGTCTCATGTCAACAATGGGAAACACACTTCGGAAGTTCGGAAGATAATGCAGCTGGAGAAACTCGCGTGCTCCAGGGCCAAGGCGGTTCCAAAGGGCCAGGTCAGCACCCGGAAAGAAGCAAAGGTCCTGCTCGTAGTCCGCAAGGGAGCCGTCTGCATCAGTGAGCACAGCAAAGCATTCCATGCTAGGACCTGCAGATCACGTTTGAAACTATGAGCCGATCGCTCACCCATGTGGGCGGTAAGGCCATATCCAATGCTCTCCTTGATCTGGCCCAGCCAAGTTTGTAATCAGCTGGTTCTTGTCACGGTAAAGGCGAAGCACCCCGTTGGCCCTCGCCAGGCCCACTGCCAGTTGCCGAAAGGCCCACTGCGGAACATATCTGAGCTGGCGGCGGGCACAATGGTCAGCTTTTGATAAGAAAACCGACGCGGGGCCTATATTTGCCGGCAGCAAGCTTGGAGCGTGATCCTGTCTGGCGCGGCGCGCAAACACAGCCCATCAAAAGTACGATAGAATTATCCCGGCAAGAGACCCCAAACAGTGTGTTTGAGGTCTAGAGGTGTAGCAGGAGAAAGTCTAGAGATCTAGACGGATTGGGGTCGACAGGTGAAGGTGGAGATCGTGGTGATGGTGGTGGATGGGGGTTCGCAAGCTGGCAAATGCCCGTCAAGTACTGCGCCTGCCACCAAGTCTGCACTTCAAGGTCCACACAATATTGCACCTGCCACGAAATTCGCACTTCAAGGTCCACAAAGGACTGCGCCTGCCACGAAGTCTGAAAACGAGCCATATGCTCAAAAGTCGTGATTCATTGCACCTGCCACGAAATCAGAGCACGCCGAAGACCACCACCATATCCAGAGTACTGCGCCGGCCACGAAATCTGTACATCGACATAAAGCCACTCAGACTCCAATCTACTGCGCCTGTCATGAAAAGCCTGCCGTGAAAAGTGATCACCAAGTCCAAAAATGCGCACGGCACCACAACGAGAGCGCACCTCCGTCAAGCACCATACCGCGGCCAACGTTTTTCGCGCGACTCTGCGCAGAGAAGTTGCACTTGGAGATCTCAGAGCGGAACTTTTCTGCAAGCCTGTGCAGCCAAAACGCACGAGCTCAGAGGGCGTGCCTTGATCGAACCCGGGCTTTTACACCTACCGTAAGACGCCGTAAGAACCCCTCAGTGTGGACACACTGTTTGGGGAAGTACTGCCGCTGCAGAGATGGGACCAGAGGATGGCGGGGGCCAAGAAAATGTTCCCTCACGTTACGCCAAACAATGTGGATCAATGTGGACGAGGCATGCTGGCATGTACCGTGGCAAGCGGAACCAGCGGAGCAGGAGCGGAAACGCAGGGTCATCTGGGCGCTTGAATCCAGCAGATCGGCAGTTGCTCCCGTAACATGTGCCCGGTCGGGCAGTCTGACAAAGAAAGGTGCCACTTCACGTCGGGCCACTTCCAGGGTGCATGTCACCATGCCATTGCAGCGTCGAGGCAGGATACAAGAGCTTGGAAAAGAGGAGCAAAAGTCGAAGCAAACCAAGTGTAAGCCGGACCAGATTCTGAAGTTGCAATGGCAAAGCCCAGCTGGACATAACGAGAGCGGTATGCAGTGAGATGGGTATCCGTGTCACCAGGGCACGCCCTTGCCCCATGCTTCACATTCATCACTGCCGAGCAAAAAGTTACGTCCCGTCGGCGGAGAACTTCAAATGGTAAGGCTGCGGCAGTCTCAAAGCCCGAAACAACAATGCTGGCACAGCAAGGGGGCAACAATACAATCACATAGGTGCATTTCAACCACGCGAAGCTGATACTCCCTCCTAAACCCACAAGCTAGGACTGAGGAAACATCTGCAGACTTCTTTCAGGTTGGGACTAGGTTAGAGCCCCCCCAGCAACAGCGAAACCGTAATTCTGACATCCACAAAAGCGACTGAAGGCTTTTGCCAATCATCTTACTCCAACAGGCTCAAAAGAAACTAAAACTCCCTTAAAAATATGGCCTCCGGTTTTACCAGTCAGCTGCTGTAACAGTAATTATTAATGGCATGCAATAGCAACTCTTGATTCTCATGTGGCACATCTCACTGCCCTTACTTATACGTCAAGGTATGGCAAGCACTCAGACCCAAGGCAACATAAGGCAACTACAGTCTGACCATAGGCAAACAGGTTAACCTATGACACCGGAACAGCTACCCGGCTACGTTCCGGAAGCGAATCGAGCAGGAACCCCCCTCCGAACATGCACCTCGTCGATCCCCTGGAACAAAATGGTCACATTTTGAAGAATACCAGGCTCCTCCAAAAATTGGGACCCCCCCCCAGACTTGTTTTACCATCTCCCAAGAGGCTGAACACATCGAAATGTGAGGTGAACTCTTCCCTCAACGTCTCGATCTTTTGCCTCAGCGTTTGGGCGTTTGCTTCGGGCTTTTGCCCGTCCGCACGGCCCAGGGCCTCTGAGGGGGGGGGGGGGGTCCGCCGACTTTGGTGCCCTGGAAGGTTCGGGAAAACGGGGAACATAGACCCGTCTACCCCACGTGGAAGGGGCGTGGAAGGGGGGGAGTCCCCTTGCTGCACACCCACTTAGTTGTCTTGTTTGGAACCAGGTCTTCCAATTCTCCTTTTCTACTAACGGTTGATGAATCAAGCCCGCCAATATGGAGATCTACAACCCTTCTGGAGACGGAACTCTTACAGAAAAATAATCCGTCTATCAAGTTGGGTCCCAATTGGTGGCCTTTGTCGTGACATGGTGTGATCTGGGATGAGCCGTCTTCGGGCTCTGAGAGCCGCCCAAACCGCCTCGTAGGATCCCTCAACCCCGCCCAATCTTGGCACCCAGGTGTTACGTTCGTAGCTTCTTGTGACGCAGCGATGTCCATGGCCTCCAACCGAACGCAGCGATGGCCTCCACCTGTGCATCAAAGGCACTGGACGGCGCGGGCTGCCAGGAGCGGAGCGATGGTGTCACCCTTGTTCGCCTGGAGCGGTGGTGTCATGGGCCAAAGGGATTGGACATGGATAAGGTCAGTACCCAGAAGTACTTGCATTTGTTTAAATATATGTCTCGTGGTAGAATACGGAACACATGCATGTCATATTACAAACATCTAACATATATAAGTAAGTATACCAGCTTCTTCAGTTCGTGACCGCTCTTTGGAGTCCCAGTCTAAGTGAGCTGTCTAAGTGACCGAAAACCAGCCATGGAATCAAGTTCGATCAGGAAGAACCAGGTGCATACCTGACCATACCATGTCCAAAACACTCCATACATGATATGCTGCATGGTCTTGTCTATAGTTGATGGGGTCACTGTTGCACGGGTCAATGTGGGGATATATTCCAGTCCCCTTGAGTGTCTGCGTATGATGGGTCTCTGCCAACACCCGTGGCTGGAAGATTTCTGCGACCGTGTTGAATGTCAGCATTCATCTTGGATCAATTGGGGCACACGTTCAACCGCCTCCGTAATGAAAATATACCACTTCAAACTTTCTGTTGAATTTGAAGGTACTCAAGGTCAGAGACCGCTAGCTCGTATACCGATACCATTCCAAAGACCCATTCAAGAAAACACACAAAGTGCGAGCGGCTTCTATCTACTACTTAGTCTCAGGTATGAAGACGGTCGAAACATCAGCGAACCAGTGCGGGACAAAAGGAATGGGTTCTGCTCAAGAGCTTTGCCAAAAGCATCAGCAAGAACTTCTTTTCTATCTCTTATGCATTCCTTTGCATGCTTGGCTTATAAAAGCTAAGGCCAAGAAGAATGACACACACATCAACCATCAAATCATACCTCAAACCTGGTCCAAGCATGTCCTGATCCGAGCCCCTTTCAGCGTGCACGGACGCATAGCGAAGGCACGATTCCGCGCCTCGCCACGGATCTTGAGCAAGCCTTGTACCAGTTCTTGGATGTGCAAAGACCCGCTGCCTCCGCCCGACCGATTGACGCTTCGCGGATGAAACAAGCCCTTCAGTCGCGACTGCGCGAACATCGGCGGCCTACAAGGTAAATCCCGTCCATCTGAGGTAAACTACTGGTTTCTTAGAGCCTGTGCACAAAGGAAAGAAGGGAATGTGATGGCTCACCGAAAGGCAGCCACTTCCAGGGACTTCCCCAACAGTCTGGAAGCATCCTATCTGGAAAAGTCCATTTATAAAACCGGACCATTTAAATCCATTTAAGGTCACCCAAACTCAGCCTAGAATCTAGAACCCATTGGACCGTTGCTTTGAATTGTTTTGATGGCTGCATTTGGGGTGCTTGGATGTGCTTGGTGCTCCAAAATCTCACTCATCTTGGTGCAGGAGTTCTATTTTTGGTGGGAAATTCCAACCAAAACCACGCAGGAGATGTTCTTTGAGATCCCATCCTCAGGGCCTCAGGGTGCTTGGGCCCCCTCCTCCCGGTCCTCCGGTCCTCTTCTCCTCCCCCCGAGATCTGTCCCGCCATCAGCGTCGATGACTTCGAAGAGGTGCGCGCGATTCACTGGCAAATCCAAACTGGGCCGAGCCGTGAGCAGTGGGCATCTCTGGAAAATCCCACTGAACAAACCTGACGGAGGGAGATTCGGTTCTTTTGGGGTGCGAGCAAATGGTCGGCTCCACCTGCCAGGGATCGACGAAACATCCCCCAAGTACCTTTCAGTGCGGAGTCTTCGCAGTGAAGGGATGTGGGGCTTGGAGCTATCAGCTATCAGTGAACAAATCTCTGAAGGTGGAGGCAAATCTGCGAACATGCGGATCAAAACACCACACGGCAAAGCAAGTGGTTGGCTGTAGATTCATCGTGCCAACTGTTGTTGTTGTTGTTGTTGTTGTTGCCGTCGTGCATTCAGGCCCTGGCTGTGTGCCGCAGATCTTTGTGCTTAAACTCTGATTCATGGGCAGTGTGGGTAGTGCTCTTGGCACTACAGGATTTGCATGGATTTGCTGTGCACGTTTCTGGAAGCAAAACTTCTGATCAAAGGCGTGGTTCACCATGTTGATTTCTCAATATCGAACCAAACACATGTAGAACCTGTTCCCAGAAAGTCTTGCTTTCTGCAACCCTGCAACCCACAAGTGACTCATGTGAACATCTTCATGTGGATCCACCGTGTTAAAATAGAGCATCAATTTGATATGATTTAGCAAAAGCTTCATCTCATGAGGCCCCCGACCAGGTGACCAGGTGACCGACCTTCGGCATGCCCCATCTCCGCGGCCCAAGCGGCTCGTCCATCAATTCCTGTGCTCCTCGGTCATGGACCACCATCAAGAAGAGCTCCTGGCGGCGCCGAGTCGTCGACGTTCCCGGCACGGCACACCGAACCGTGCGTTGGGGATGGGCGAGGGGCGAGGGGCGACTAGACCGAGGGATGACCTGGACTAGACCTAGGCAGGTGTGCTCCCAACATCTCGTCTGGACTGAAGGGTCCATCAATGGGTCTTCCCTGTAATAACGGGAATATCCATCCAGGTCCCTATAGAGGCAAGCAAGCAATAGAGTCATCTGAGAGTCGCTCCTCCAGTTTCATCATCACGCCGGCTGTAATGCCTTACCGCTTTTTCCCGCACCTTGGATCACGTCTTTCTGGTACATGATGGTACATGTGAGACTCGAGCTGGTCTTGAAACCGGGGGAACAAACCACAACGCGACCGGCGACACCGCTCATGCGACACCACCACACCGCGCGTCGCGTCGTCGCGTCGCGCGTCGACGCGTCGCTCGTTTCTCATCTCGTCGTGTCCGGTCGACTCCTTTGAGATCTCGATGTTGTCGTGAATCTCGTCGTCAGTAAACCTCGGGAGGTCGGAAAGCCGACGCGGGGCGGAGGCGCGCTGGCCGGTCGGACGCACTAGCCGAGGACGCAACGGTTGGTGGAGACTTGAACCTGCCGCCATATGAAGAAGCTCTGGTTCGTCTGGTTGGTGATCTGGCCGCTTCAGACCCAGCCATCGATGCCAGATGTTTAACAATCAGGCAAGTGACATATTTGTGGCCACCTACATCGATATCAGTCAATCAGTAAATTCAGATCTTTCCTTCACACCAATCCCTGACACGGTTCATCACCATAATCACCCACGCCATTTGGGCATAGGGCATAGGACCACGTGAAAATCCAGCGAACCGAGGAAAACCCGGTTGCACCGGGACAAGCACCACCTTCTGGCTCAATTGAAGAACACATGTCACTCAGCAAAAGCTTTGGAGAGCCGTGGGCGGGTGGGTTGGCGGTTGGAGGCACCTCACGCCATTCGGGTCAAGTCGCAAGGCGGCGGTCTCTTTGATCTCGAGGTGCCCCGTGAGAGTTTCGTGGTCTTCGACCTGCAGTCCACAGCGGCCCAGGGAGGGGACTTGCCTCGACCGAAGGGAAGAAATGGACCGAAGGTCGACCTCGGACATGCTTAGGGTTAGGGGACTCCTGGGCGCCTCACTTGCGGCATCCAGTTGGGTGAAATCTGGAATGACACATCTGTCATCATCTGTCAATTTTGGCATGAAGGGTGATCACCAAGAATTCTCTCCCATGAAAGTGTCCCCGCGAGGCAGCTAGGGGTCATCGCTGATTTCGGGTTTGGGCAATACCAACTTGAAGACCCCGGACTTATTTGGACATCTTTGGACCACGTACTGTGCCCCTCCCCTTGCCAAACTTGCCCAAAGCCACGTGCCAGGTGTGGTAGGCCGCGGCGAACTTCCTTGGGCCCGAGTCCGAAGATGAGGGAGGAGCCACGAAGAAGTTGCTGGGGCCAGGTCTCGGGCGCGACAAGACAAGAGGATAAAAGACCTCCCCGACTTTTGGGAAGATACCATCCCGCGACTGTTTGAAAAGGACACCCCCATGTCATATGTCAGGTACCGCTGAAGGAGGAAAGGCAGTTGAACCAACCACCGGGGAGCTGTGGACAATGAGATGAACTTGTGTCAAAGTGCTGCCAAAGGACTCCTTGTTTGTGAATATGAACGAGTCAACACTATCCAGAAAAACACCTTTGACAAAGGTTCTTTGCAATTCCTATCCACCTATAGGCTATAGTGTGTGTGGTCACAAAGGGTATACCTGCAACATTACTCTATCACATTTCATCACTTGAGGGGTCCACATCTATGTCCACATGCCTTTTTCATGCATGGCACAGGTATGGCAGAGTTTCTCCTTGCTCCAATCTTCAGAAATCACCGTCCCCTGAGAGGATTGACTATCCTGATTCTGCAGCGGCACAAATCTTCAGATGGACACCCCCAATCTGAAGGGACCAAAGGCTACAAGATTCAAGACAGAAAGGCTACAGGGCACGGTGTGTTGAACTCCTCAACTCCCACATGTTTGGGTACTTTCTCCATGTGTTGAACTCCTCAACTGCAAGACTGTCCCAGTCTGTTCTGCATGTTGGACGAGAACCTTCAGCCCGACATCGAACAAAGACCGAATGAGTTCCTGAAACCATATGAATTCTCATGAGGCCAGAAGCTTTTCCCAATGCCCCCAACAACGGCCAGAGCTGCACCACTGCTCCAGGATGACTTGTCTTTCTAGGAACTAAGCCAGCCCTTCCATATCCTTCCAGACTTTCACCTTCTACACTACCAATACCCCACCCACACCGGAACACACGAGTTCTTTCGCGGCGAACCCACCGCGCTTCACGGGTTCCTGCGCGGTTGGTTTCACCTCCCTGTGCCGCACGGACGGACCGGGGCGCTTCAGCAGCTCCCTCGTCGCGCGCGCCACGCGAATGGACTCTCTGGCCTTGGCGAGCGACGTGATGGTTGGGATGTGGAACCCTAGGTCTATGTGGAACCGTAACGAAGCATAGGGGCCATGAGTCTGGAACATAGACCAGCATCAGTTCGGGGGGGTGAACCAGACCCCTGAAGATGGATGTTCCATCCAACCACCCAAACTGGGTGGTGCTGGTCCTTACTTGGTTCTTCAGCGAAGATCCATGGTGATTTCCTTGCAGTTGGAGGAAAGCACATATTTGTTCATCGCAGATCATTGTAATATTGGGACATATTGGGACAAAGCATTGATCAACTTTCCTCACTCTTTCCCTAGTTCACCTGTTGACTGGTCAGGTGGTGCATTCCCCGCCGGGTACTGCTCGGACCCCACCGCCGAGCCACGTACTGCTCGGCGGTCACGGCGTCGTTCTCCTTGGCCGCCTTCATGGTGATGTCGACCTGAGAACTACCGGAACACGATCCTTTGGACATCCTGTGGACCCTGAAAACCACTGGTGCAGCGACCGAGGACACATGAGGCAAAACGGACTCAGGGTGCCAGTCTTTCCACTCTGAGCATCAGGGTGACATGGACTGCTGAACCATATGCGTGGTGAACCAGGGTGTCCATTCTGAGATGCACGTGACATGCGAATCAAAATCACTCCTGACCTCGTAGCGGAATGGATTTGGACAGCGGTGGGTATGCCAGCCAAAGACGAACATGGACCATCCACGAAGAGCGATCCCGTAATGGCCAAAGAAGCTACTAGGGGCGCTCCTGGCAGTACTACTAGGAACAAGAAGCTAGTAACAAAGGGCATCGCCGGCATGTAACAAGCAGCTCTTGAGTCTGGACGAGACGCAGCCGGCCTACGGCCTACAGCACATCATCTCTCAATGTGAAGGGTCTCGACTTACGAGGTATTCATGTATGGGGAGGCCTTAGTGTTGACCTCCCAAACATCTCTGGCAAAAAAGCGGCACTCCCCCCCAAATCCTTGCCGAAAGCAAATGCATCAAAAGGAAGAGTCAAAAGAAGGGCCAGGGCCCAGGTTCGGGTGTCTCATTCCAAGTCCCACACCCTCCCATGTCAGAAGCGTGTGAAGGTTCCACCGACACATCCCAGGACATAGCTCCAAAGGTTGAACGAACAGGATGTTCACAGGATCCATGTGATCGACAAATACACAACTGCCGATCACCTGGGTTCTTCTCCTTGTGACTCTTTATGACTCCTTCGTCTCCTGGTTGCTTCGGTCACAAACAAGCCTCCAAGTTGGGTCACTGTTCACTCCAAGCAGGTCACTTTTGAAGCAAAAGACTAAGATCAGCCAATGCTTTATCGTGGAGTTTCAACCAAGGCACCGAGGTCCCGCCGTAATTTCGACAAACCGACCTGACCACAAAGCCAGCCTCAACCTGGAGCGACCGGTGTCCGGGCTCTGAGGGTCCGGGCGTAGACGGCCAGGATGACGTTCGAGATTCCCATGGTGACCAACATGTAGCTGGCCACATACCTTGGCCACTCATCACACGACCTTCGCTGGTATACTCATATACTCTGCCAAAACAACTTCATCACAGGATCATGCGGATCTGGAGCATGTTCTTGTACATGACACCCACTGGGGCCACTGGGGGTCACGAAAGGGGGAATGGCTGGTCTATGCTGGCTAGTTGGCACTGGCGGATGTGACGGCCGTGAAGGTGGATCACGATGTACCATTGCTGTTGGATGATCAACGTTGATGGTATGGAAAACCCTATGGATCCACATAGCTTCTCAGAAGGTAATTGGACCCTGCAAGCCTACATAAATAGTCTCCAATCACCTTCTTAGGTTCGGTATGTGGATCCATAGGGCAAGTATAGGGAGACGGTCTCCCCCAAGGTTCCGACACCGAAGAACAGACCCGTCGACCGTCGCCAGGGCACGGTTGATGCGCACGGGGGCATCGTCCGTCCTATCTCCATGTGAAGCTTCAAATGACCAGCGCGGTGGTGTCATTGGATGACTGATCTCACAAGCTTTGGAGCTGAATTGAGATTCCACAGCTCAGTTGCTTGACAATAATGGGTATTTCATGAACAAAACCACGAGATACCAAGAAATGATCCAACAACCTCGTGCTTGGAAACAGTCAATCAGCTCAAACATACAGTCGATGCTTGGTACATCTGGAACGAAAAGAACGCTTCAGCTGACCATCTGCGGAGCTCCCCCACTTCCTCTTCAACCCACGTGAAGCAAAGCTTTGCAAAGAGGCATCACTCGCCCTGAAGGACTTGGACTTGGAAAGCTATGGTACTGTGGTACCTCAAAAAGTATACACCTATTATAGATCCTTCAACTGCGCAACATGTCTACCTTTTCATCCATAGAACCAGCCAAAAGGCAAACACTTTGCGTTGGAAGTCTTTTCTGCAGGGCTGGGGAGGCATATGCAGCATACTTCAAACGGTACTGGTCAAGTAGATATAGAAATTATTCTATTTTCGGATCCGGGTCAGTGTCCTCCAACGGACGGCACAAGGACGCATCAACACCGGCAAGAAGGCATGCTTTGGGTGGAGGGACCTCATGGAGGTCTGGACGCATCAGACAATGAAATCTGTTTCTTGGTCAGTTCCGTTCTTTCTCATCCCTTCATCCCTCCATCCCTCCCCCTCCCCTCCATCCGTCCATCCATCCAAGACCTCCGTCCAAAAACTGGGAGGGCCAGCGACCCAGCCGCCCCAGCACCGGTGCCCAGCGACCCAAGCACAAAGGGCCAGCCGAATTCTTTGGCCAAGGCGGTTGGGATGGAAATGCCCGCCTCCCAGCTGCTTGGGGCCCAACACCAGCTGCTTGCGACGTGTACTCAGGGGTACTGAGGGGTACAAGAACGACGAAGACATCACATGGAAGTGGAGTTCACCCCTTAGTTCGTAAAGGAAAGTATAGTCTTTCAAGGGACCATGCCTATACCACTTCCATGTTAGTCAAAGTGTACTGATAGTACTGATTCTGTAAATGACGAAGACTAATTATAATATAAAGGGTGTCCTATGGAAGCAGCATCTGAGACATGAAGAGTTCTCCTCTGAAATTGGAGTTCGATGGGTAGATGCTTGATGTTTCATGGATTTGTTTATCGACCGGGGTAGGATCCGGCTTCTTCAACATCGGAGTCGCGGTCAAAGAGGAAGGACTAAGGACTACACCATTCGGCTTCTAAGAATATAGCCATGCGGCTCCACGTATTGAACATTTAGTATACATACATTGACCCCCAAAAACATCCCAGTGTAAATATGTCGTATATACATGGTGTCTCGGTATAGCCATGCGGATCCATGTATACATCTAACGATCTCTCAAAACCATTCAAACCCCGCTGTCGGAATGGTGAGGGGCCCCGAGTGCTGCGCCGTTGACCTGGATCCCCGCATCGTAGGAACGCTGGAAGCGGGGCAAACAGCATTTCCAGTTCCAGTCATTCGGACACGTGTTCCATGGACAGTTCGAGTCATCTCGAGTCCAGGAATTGTAAACAAGTCATTTGGACTTCTTCCTGTAGACTCTTGATCAATACAACAAAAAACATACAAAAGCAGTACAACACGATTCGACAAAGGTTTTACACATCCAAATGGGGTGAGGTAATTCATCAAGGGTCTACATTAGAAGTCGAGTGACTTCTAGGCTGTTTCGAGATGCGCTTAAAACTCCTCCCACATCATTACCCCAGGGATCCAAGTAATGTAGGTGCCAGGAGGATCCAGTCGTACCTTCTGAGGTTTGGATACGACTGGATTTTTGGGGACTACAAGTTCTGCCCACCTATGTTCTATGGAACTTTTTGGATTCTGGATGATTTCTTTGTGACATCATCGAATCATGATGGTCCCAATGACACACACTCTCCGGAGCCCTGCGCCAGTGCCAGTTCCGCGCCTCTGTCACACATTCGCCCGTCGCGGTGCAGCGAAACGTGGTGAACATCGCGGCCTGGCGGAGGTGACCACCGGGAGCAGAACTGATATACCATGACAGGAATGGTCGACCTTTTCCAAAAGGTCTACATGGGACTGGAAACTGTTACTTGACCAATGAATTGACTGTTTCCAATATATAGTTGGGTATGATTACATGACCATCCATGTATGGTTGTAGACATTTACCCCATTTGTATATATATATATGACCCTAATAACTGACTGGATTCGAGGATTCTTCCCTAGATCTCCAACCCCTAAAACCTCCGCTTCGATGATTCGAAATAGGCATCCAATTTGTGTATTATTACTAAGCTATTGTTGTATCATCTTTGAAATTTGTATGGTGGACGGCGAACATAGGATACCCCATTTCGTAAGGGAAACTCCAAAGATGATATTCTTGTTATATGTCATATTTCTTTACCTGCTGTGTAAATAACCATATATTCTTCACCAATTCAGCAATTCTATGATGCCGTGTTTGATTTGACCACTATCAACATACAAACACAAAACATCCAAAACGCAACAACATAATATAATGACGTTCAAATTAAACAATAGAGTGCCCTGAGCAAATGTCCTTTCCTTGTCAAAATCCACCGACCCTAGGAATATGGACCTGGATCACTAGTGGGCGTATCCTTCCTTCATCCAAAATCCATTCTTCACCGGGTAGAGGTCAGGCCATCTACTCTCCAAAGAGGTGGTGTCTGCCTCTACGATTCACCTGAACGGAGCCACACCGATGGATGGCGAGACGTGGAAGCACCGGAGTCTCGTTCCTTTCGGTTCATTCGAGTGGGAAGTGCACTGAAAATGGGTCCGCCCCACCAAGTGGTCAGTTTAGTTTGGTGGAAGGACACCTCATCCCATACTCAACCTTCAAAGGGGAAACGTGATCCACAAGTCGTATAGGGTTTTACGGTATACTGGTCTCCCAGATTTCAGGTCGCATTCCCAACCCCTCGGAGAGGCCCCCAGGATCGGCTTCTGCAGCAGTTTCCAGCATTGACACGGGACTGAAAAGCGACTTAATCCAGGGTCATAAATCGGGTGCCGTACCATGTAACTCTTCCATACATGAATGGTCTGGGACCCATCTGCTTTTAGTTCTTCACAAAGGAATCACGCAAAAAACGCAAAAAAACGCCAGCGAAGCCAGAATTCGGGCCCTGTGATTTGCGTTCAAGTCCGAGTGGCGGGAATGTTGTAGAAGTACGGCGTGAGGTCCCTCTGCATCAACGCATCGCTACCTCACGGCCACACTGGAGAGCTCATGTCGTCGAGAAGGGTACTTTGCACTATAATCACTATAGGTATACTTTGCAAAGGCGGATGAAAAGCTACCAGCCCAAGTTTTGGGAGTGTTTTCTGCTCAAAGTGCAACTACCAGCCCTCAACTCGACGTTTTGAGGACTTCGGCGCTCCTCACTCAGAGACCTTAAAAGGCTGAGAGTTTGCTGTTACATTGGCTCTTGCTGAGGTTGTTTTCAGATCCTGAACCGCGAAAACTAAGTGCTTAAGGCCATCCTACAAGAAGTGTTTAAGGCATCTTTTCATGTCACACGCACAGGCACACACCAATTGATAGTACCAATCACTCTATCAGGGTGGCTTGAATGTTTCCATTGGACTCCAGTGTAGAAGCTCTAATTAATAGAAATGGACGAAGCATGCCAAGCGGTACAACAAAAGGCCCTGACAGTTTCTCAAGGCTCACATCCTAAATCATCCTGAACAAATCTCAATCATGGCGGAGGCAACAATCCGAGAGCGAACGTCCTTCAGGCATCTTCAGGCAAAGTCTTCCACCAGGATCATTCTGTCTGGGTGCTCCTGTCTGGAGGTCCATATGTAGTGCAGTCTATTGGAGACCGATTAGATGATCCAGGTAGGTGTTTCTGGGGCAGGTTTTCACCGGACGGGCAAAATACGAAGCTTTGCCACATGTGGGCCGCATGTGGTGCCCCCTAAACCTGAAACCCTTGGGATGTCCGAGGCGCTCCCCATCGTAAGGTTGGCGAGGCCAGCAATCACATAGAGGACGGCAAAAAGAAGCCTAACACAGTGGAATGAGCCATGAACAGTTTGTACTGAATATATATATATATATAATGAGTAAACAGTTTGTACCAACCTTTCTCTTGAAGCCGTATCTCTTCTGCTTCTGACTTCCTGAGCAAATCGGCAGGCTCAGTTACCTCAACGTCTATCCAGCTAGATCTCTAGCCCTGCTGTCTGGCATCCTCCACTGCGTTTACTACAAGCTTGCTGAAACTGGCATCCTCCAGCCCACTTCTTTGCGAAATGCATCGCACAACTGCCATGTCTGTCCGTGACTCGGGCTGGGGTGGGTGCCAGAAGGGTCTAAGTACCTTCTGAGGAGGTACGACTGGAGGTGTAGGGGTCCACTGGGCAAAGCAAGCTAAAAGTCGTCTGCCGAAGCAATCCGACCCGAGCCGAGCTTGGACGAACGTTCTGATTTCTGCTCCCAAAGGGTCAAACAACTGGAACAAAGAGTGTGGCTTGCAAAGTTGATGGCACAACACCCAAGGAGGTGGCCCTTTTGGATCTCCATGGATCTTCCTGCTGGTCAGCAACCTGAACCCACACACGCCTGTCATCTATCCTCTGCACCATCCACCCATCCAGAGACGTAGAACGCCCCTCCCACGTGCCGGGAAACACAAAGGATAGAGCCAAGGTCCAACATCCAGCTACCAGCCCTCTCAACATGAGCCGCAGGTCCTCACGAGGCGTTCACGACGCTCTCGAGCGTTCTGTTCAGTCACGGCTCAGCGGCAGAGCTTGAGTAGTGACCCGAAGGGTGCAGGACCATCCTGAGGATGTCCTTTGGCCCAAAGACCATTCTCAGGAAGTACTTTCACCTACAAGACCATCCGATTCAGATGGTCCTGGACCCTCAGGGTGAGTCTATGTCCCATTGTGATCGGAGTGTCGGCTTGAAAAAAGAACAAACACATCAGCACCCGACTCGCAAAAACTCGTGTGGTTTGGGGAGATGATTTGTTGAAAGATTCCTCTAGTCGAACTGTACTATGAAACAATTTGAATCGGAACTTGGATTCCCCAAAAACACACGGACGTTCCTTAGCAAACTAACACATGGGGCCCCAAGGGATGTATGGGTGTGTCCAACAAAAATCGGGAGACCCTCCCACAACTGTCGGGAGTGAGGACAAATCAATGGAATATTCACATCAACAAGTATATATATTCCCATGAACCTTCTCAAATCTTCTCATATTATTCACTAAAAGCCACATGTCATCATTGTTCAAACATTGTTTCTGTTTTTGGGGGGTTCTGACAGATTGCACATGTTTCCCAGACTTTACCATCAACTGGCACTTCAATAGAATACAATGTACAACAAAATATGTCGAACATTTTGACAACTCCAATTGCAACGCTCGGCCGCAACGATTTTTTCGCCTCGCTCGGGGATCGTGGGGGTTCGGCTTTTGGCATCCGGGTTCGACCGTTTCGGAGGGTGGGATTCATGGCCAACCACTAACACAACCAGTCTGACAAAACCGAAGAGCCTGACAAAACCACCGGAGTTCACTTCATCATGTCTACGACGAAACCGGAGTTCCTCCTCTCCAGTGTCCTTTTCTCGCACACGAAACGCCTCGGAAACGCCCGTCCTTCATCACCTTCAGTCGAAAGACCCGCACGATGCGCGCCAAGCCTCGGACGGACGTCCGAGGCCCCCAAAATCGACCCGGAGGGCGTCCTGCCAGGCTCAGGCGGGGTGGTCTTTCACACCCCTGAAATTAACAGCTAGTTGGGGCTATAAATAGACACCACAGGAGGGTCCTGGTTGTGTTCTATTACGCCCCCCCTCCAAAGAACCCTTAGCTTGCAAGGGAGGCTGTGAAAACCCCTCGTTGACCCAATGTGCTATTGCTCATCAACAAGTTGACGATTACGTTTGCGTGGCATAACTAGAACTCTAAGCAACGTGGGTTTTGTTTCATGATGGTTGGGAATTTCAATCTAAGCACCGGCTTGCCACTGTGTTTGATGTCAGCTTACTCCATTGAAGGCATATATGCTCCCTACTTCCCAGAGTTTTGAGCCGTATCAAGCCTCCCACACCCCGCAAAAGAAACCAACAAGACACTCGTGCCAAGCAAGCAGCGAATGAGTCGAAAAAATCGCAGCAAAGTGGTCCCTTTGGGAGTCTCCACTGCAGTGGTTTGGATGATGATATCTGCAAAGGCAACGCTACCTGAGCGCCAGCCCGCTTGTGAACTGCAAAGCTGCTTGGCTGGGGTTTTGGCCCTCGTGGTTGTGAAGAATGATTGTTACTTTAACCGGGACGCAACAGCGCAGACTCAGACTCACTACTAATTGAGAGACATCAACCATTTCCAGAAACAGATCAATATCAATAAGTCATCTTCAAAGATCGACACCGTAAACGGTAGAAAAACAGCTCAAGGAAGGGATATCCGACAGCTTCACCATTTTTCATGTCATGCAATATCAGGTATACGCTGCTGTATATTCATGTATACATTCTGTAGACTGAAGACTGCCAAAAGAAGGATTAGTAAGGATGGATGAGGGGAGAGGAACCACATGGGCCAAGAAATCCATGGAGCCATGCATAAGTTCAGTCACCTCACTATGATCTTCATAACTCAAAATAGCCTGAAACAAAGGACGCTGTCTCGGAATCTCTCTGAAAAAGTCCGTCCCCATCCTGTGCAGTCATGGGAGTCTGCCGTCTCGGTTTATGGCTCGCCCTCGTCGCGTCTGTGAAAAAATGAGTCGTGGCGTCTGCGGCGTCACTTGAAATCTGCTTCAACCAATTCATTCTGAAAACCAGCCATGAACTGAACATGAATGAACGACCCAATGAGTTCAAACACGAAACTCAAGCACGTTCAAACGGCAGAACGAGGCTCGAGAAATACGGGTGTTGGGTGTCGACCAGCCATGTGGAAAACAGGTCTCACCGGTCTCACACAGGTGTCGATCATCAAAGTGAAAATTCCGGAGCTGGTGTTGAACAAAATGAACCCACCCTCAATTCGCTCGAAAATTGTGCTATCCTATGCTATGATTTGCTATGATTCTATGATGCTATTCTCCCCCAAAGGAATGCTGCTGTGAGAATACGGACCTTTCTTGGGGGTGCACTCCTTCTTTTGAACCCGTTCCGAGGCGGGGGCAAGTCCCAGACACCGGAACCTTCCAAGAGAGGTTATAAGTGACCTTATAGGCTAGGACACTACTGGCGTACCCATGGGATAGTCTTTTGGGGGTTCTGAAAAACCTCTGTTGGATGGCCAAGACACACAGGAACAGGTCGAAGAGATTCCACAGACCTCATTGGTGTTTGGACGACGAGTGCTGAACAGCACCCTCCGGGTGCTATTCAGTGGTTGCTGCTGAGATTCAGTGATTCGGTTCTGAACCAACACTTCAGGTGGCCTTTCTTTGGTGCAAAGCACAGCTGAAAACCGTCCTTGACGATCTTGACGGACTATGACTTGATGGTTTTCAGTCATAGTCAGGCATTTTATATTTGGAGTATGTTTTAAACAGTTGACAGCTACACTTTTACACAAATACCTCAAACCCAAATCCCAGACCATCTACCTATCGAGGAAATCGCTGTTATTTTACACTCCCAAGTCAGTCTACGAAGGGACAAGCTTTTTCAAAGCCTCATCCATGTAGGGCACCCTTGTGGCTCATGTGCGCGCAATCCCATGACCATGATCGTCTTTTTGGCCAAGAAAATCACCTGCTCACGTTTGGGGTTGCCCCATGGAGGTCGTATAGGTCGTATAGGCCAACGGAAGCTGACTTTGGCCCCCCCTTCCGCCACCAGATGACTACGTACAGGAGCCCATGTGACTTTCTAATATCTGAACAGCTACCGGACGCAACCCGATGTGAAAGTGAAGCTCCGCCAGGATTCACCAAGGTTTCCATTGGGTTTCCATTGGGGAGGATTGGATCGGGAGATCCTTCGACCGAAACTGGTCGATGTTCCAAACGACACTTCTGACGGAATCGTTTCAGTGAGTAGCAGCATGGCAGAAACAACATGGCTCCACTATTTAAAACATGACTTTTTTACAGTCAGATTGTTGGCATCAAATTGTTGGAAGACTCCTCTCTCTATAAAACTGAATCTCTTCCAAGACAGGAGATACTGAGAAAGTCTCATGCCCCACATGGTCCTGCAGCGTTGCAAACAAGCAGCGCTCAGCACCACACCAGAAGTCTCGGCAGCGAATTACAATGAAGCGTAGACAAATCTCAAGCAAGAGAAGACCTCAGATATGCAGTCTCTCAAAATGATGCAAATTGTTCTGAGAGTGATCTGATGTTCAGATATTTCAAGCACATCCAAATAGCAGCACTGTTGAGAGACAAGGCTCTTGACAGCTCAATCCCCAAAAGCTGCTCTAGGTTTGAACACGAGAGCATGTTTTGTTTCTACCAATTAGGACCATGCTTCATTTCTGTGTGTCACAGCTAGAGTACAAACTCTACCTGTGACCCGAAGGAATCGTCTTGTTTTTTTCCATCGGCTGCCGCCTTCGTCTTTGCAGCATCAGTAATAGCACACCAGTTTTGTGTGAGGTGGATTGAACAGGAAATGGCCAACTCCTTTGGAAGGGTTTCTTCTTCATGACCTGACCCGACGATACAACGAACAATATACGCAAAGCATTCTCAAAAGCTCTGGTTTGCCGACGAACATGTTCTTGCACGACACTTCTCAGGACAATTCTTGATCATCGGGAGTTTCCTCTTGCATTTCATCGAAAGACAAATGAATTTGAATGGTACAATATGGTACAATACTGCACTCCCAAGAACAGATGCACCCCAAAGGAGACTCCACCAGCTTGCTCCCGACGCTGGACTCAGACCAGATGCCAGCAAAGACACCTGAGCGAAGGAAACCCATCCACGAAGCTGTCTGGGCTGCATGTCTGGGGTATCCTCTGATGATAATCCCTGTCCAAGCGATTTGTACGTACTAAAGCCCACCTAAAAAGGTTCCCTTGTTTCACCGCTGGATCTGTTATATGATATTTCCTTTTTCCAGTTCTGGGACATATATATATATATATATATAATATATATTATATATAATTTGGTGCCAAGTGATCCCTTCCGAAACTGTACATCTATATACTTGAAACAACAGCAGCTTGCTGAGTTTGCATCAATCATTCGCAACCCATAGTTACCCTAATTCAAATCAATCAGTTTTTCCTAAAATGCCGACAACATCCTCAAAGGTCCACCTACTAGTCACTAATTCACAAAACATGTGTTCTTTGGATGCCCTTCTCAATTCTGGGCCATTCTCCCAAGCTTCAAGCGATTCAGGACTTGCAAAGCTCCACCCCAACCAATCTGCCCAAGGCACATTCCATGTAGATCCAGCCACTCCAATCCTCATAGTAAGGATCCGTTTGGAAGCCGATCATAACACCTCAGTGTGACAACCGAAGCCGGCTTCCAAGCCCACCTGTCCTTGTCTGCTCCCTTTGTAGAGCTCAGGTAGGACCCTCTCACCCCCATTTTCCAGTGATGGAAAGGCAGCCTCGACCGAGGTCTACGGATCCGTTCGCTCCGTTCGATCGAACTCACGTGGGTGGTGAGAAGTGTGAGAAACACTCAGGTGGGTGAGTGGGTCCACACCCCGCGAAAAGAGAAACCACACTGGAAACATCGAAACTGGAAACATCCCAGACATTCCATGTATGATCTATGGGTTTGGGGCCTGGGGGTGAGCCGTTCAACAAATCCAGATCAGTGTCTGGGTTTGGACACACTTGAAAAACATCTGCATCTGAAGGAACTGAGTTATTGAAGAACACTCTTACAATTGTGGGTGCACCGTGGATACAGCAATGCCCAAGTCACCGTTGGCAATGATGATGACAGCAATCAGTGGCTCCAGGTACCTGTGATACACATTCCGCATGAAACACCGGTCGATGGAAGTGGATCTAGATAACCCAACAGGGAATACATTCCCTTCATCAGATTGATGTGTTTTTATTGTGGGCAGTCCCTTAGTCCCTTGGTCCAATGAAGATCAACCCTTTCAGGACATCCTCCTCACCTAGAATGCGATCTAATCGATAGCTGCCAAGCCTTCTCAGCACCCTCAGCCTTCTCACCACAAATCTTCATAAATCTTCATAGTCATCTGCCACTATTGGAAGTGTTCTCGCAGCACCACCAAAAAAAATCGTAAAAATAGCTATTAAAAAAAAAACAAACAAGACCGCTGGGGTGCTGTTTTTTTCCCCTTACTTATTGTTTTCCAAGAGGATCCCACGTGTCGAAATATTTGTGTGCTGGAGATGTGTTCTTCCTGCCTTGCCACAGCCCCATGGAAAGGACGGAGACCTTCTTTGTTGCCGTGTCGTTTTGTGTTTGCTGAAGAGACACCAGTTAATATCTCCAGGCTTACACGCAACTCCACAAAAAGTGAATTGGTCGTGCTTCACAAGATCGATGAGCAGCTCTGCCCGGCGCCGACATGAATCGGCATGGGCGACACCCAACGGAGTCGATCAGGGTTCTCTCCAGTTCCTCACCAAAGCAAGGTTGGCAACATGTCCCAGCATCGGACCCTCTGCGGCTTTCCTTGACCACTTCTTTTTCCGAGAAATCAATGGGCACAAATGAACTTAAACGAGAAACTAATCCATGAGTCGGCCTGGTTGTGTCATTCATAAAGCGAATGGGTGAATGATCTCCCGGAAGCTACATTGAGCAGGTTGCCGTCAAGAAGATCCTGCATCCTTGCAAAGCACAAGGTCGAACGAAGTTCAACCGTTTGAGCTTGGTCGAGGATAGGCATGGGCTCCAACAACAAAACTTCTTCGCTCCTAGTCCGTGCTTCAAGCTGGTCTTGTTCATGGATTCGGCGACCGCTGCATCCCAAAAAAGTGCCTGGCGTCTCTTGATGCCTCTGCCGGGCGCTTTGAGCCCGCATGTTTTGTCTAGGAGAGGATGAGCGTTTTCCAAGACTGAGCGCACCGTCGAAACATGCTTGCTGAAGGCGGGCAGTCTTGTGGAGTGTATCACCTTTACTTTTGCACGGGAAAAAACTTTGAGCTGCACTGCACCTCGGGTTTCAATGGTGAAAACTGAGCGGAGCATTCACCACCTTGTCCGGCTTTTTCCGGGTCTGTGTGTTCTGCTTGTCTGTCGGTTGTCCCTCTTAACGCCCTGTTCAGGGCCTTGACCCCTGCTTGTCCGTGCCTGCTTTCCCTTTCCCCATTGCCTTGTCCATCGTTTTTTTGGGGCTATGACTGAGTGCAACATTGATGCAGCGATTATATTACTGTCTCCCGTTCCCCAAAACTTGTGTCTTGTTTGCAGGCTGTTCCCAAACAGCTGGAGGCTGTTTGGCATATCAAACGTTTCCACCAACATCATTGGGGAATTCAAGTGAACTGACGCCCCGAAAATCGGAACCTGTCCAACATCGATTCCAAGCCACACCATCCTCCATCCCCCCAAACATATCGGTCCCAGTTACATCAGGATGTGAATCGGCTCGGGTGGCGCTGCCAAGTCGTTGATCCGCACCTCGGTCAGGTCCCTGTGGATGCTGGAGAAGTAAGGGCTTTGGGAGAGACTTTCAAATAAATTGATGGGGACAGATGGATGTTGTTTTAAATTGGAAGACCCAGAATCAACGGGTAGACTATGGTAGACTGATCTATTTGCCGAACTTTCCAGGATGTCGTTGCCTTTCCACTATGCAAAGATGTTGCCTTTCCACTATCTTGGCCCAACGCTCGTTGCTTGTTGCCATCAGTGTTGACACATATTGCAGTGAGTATTCTTGCCAAGCAACTACTACTCATTGCCATATGTGAATGAACATCGCATACCCAACCAAAGGCCACATGAGTTGTTTCGAAAGGAACACATCCTCAAGCCCCCCCTGATCTCTTCAACGCCGATCGGTCAGAGCCGAGGATCGAAGGTCAGCTCGGCCACCAGCCCTCGGTTCACGGCTGCGAATGTGGGGACTGAGACACCTGGAGGGGACCAGTCCGATCGCTCCGAGTAGTAAGGCCGGTCAATGGAACCTACTATATAAAATGGCCAGGTTCAACCCCCTTGT